GTTATTACAATTTATTTATTATGTGCCTTTAATCTGATTAAAGAAATTCAAGTACCAAGTACAAGTTTGTATCCATAAAAGTTTGTTCCTCAAATAATAGAGGAAATAAATAAACATCTATGTAAAGCTTCTCTTATTATTGTCAATATATGAGAGTTAAAGATACATTATTTTACATTATTTAAAACACTGAGGCCCCATTTGGGAGGGGAGGTGAAGAATCTTTTGGCACAAATTATAAAGTCACCTGAAATTATTGGGCCCTTGCCTGAAAAAACATTTTTTTAACAAAAGTTTAGCTTTGCATTCCAAAACATTCTGCTGATACATTTATTCTATCTACCCTTCTGTTTTTTCTAACTTGTGCCCTATAAAATGTGTTGCTTGCAAAATTTAAAAAGATGTTCTCCTCCTTATTTTAATTTATTGGTAAAAGGGGAATTGTAATACTTTTCAGATGGGGCACACAAAATCTCTGTGCCTGATTACTCACATCTCAATAGACTGAAATGAGCTCAGGAAAAAAGCTCTAAAGAGCAAAAATGGTCATTTTACTTTCCAAATTCAAAAAGGTGAGAATTACTTGAAAGGCATTTACAGACCACATTAAGGACTTTTGTTTTGGATATGCTAAATATAATCTAAACATTCAACCATAGCTATTTTTAACATCAGCCTTCTCTCTCTTCCTTGTGTGGAAAATCCAGTGGTACTTACTCCTAGGTGAGTAGGCATAAAAGTAGAAAGTGCTTTAACTGGAAAGTCCTCTGGCTTGACTGGTTTGTAGTTCAGTCCATCCTAAGTCAGGATGAATGAAACAAGAGTCTACACTACATCTTCCTTACCTTACTATGTTAGACAATAAAGGACTAATTTTTAATCAGGCTACAAACCAAATGATATTAGCTTTCAGCAAGAATGCATCCATGACAGAATTTAAAACTTGCTACAAAATCATTTAGCAGGGAAAAAAATTCCACTCTGTAATTAGCTGGGTTTTTTTTCTTTTTTAAAAAATGATTTTTTTTCTTTTCCGAGCAACTTTGCATCAGGCAAACAGTATTATTTTAAAAGAAACCATTTCCACAAATTAGACTGTCTCAAAATCATAAACTGAGGATAAGAATTACACATCTTTCAAGACTTAAAAGAAAATGCACGTATCGACATGTACAGATTGCCAAGGCACTGTTTGATACTGCCCCCTTATGTCAAGTGAAGCCAACAGCTGAGGCTTACATTCAAACTTTTCCTTAGTTGTGCAAATCCCCAGAAACGTATTGAACAAAATGTGAAGCCATGCCAAAACTGCAGAAAGGGATAATAAACCACAATTCTGAGAATCTCGAGTCACAGTTAAACCTAGATATGAAAGATTTTTATCCTTTGTCATTGTAGTTCCGGATGAAGTCCCATCTCTCTGCTCATTGCAACCAAAGATCCCACTATAAATTAGAACATTGTGCAAGAGTTTCATTACTGCATTTAGCTAATCCTCTCCACTGACGCAAGGGGGGATTGGCTAAATGCAATAATGTATACAAGCATCAATTGCAACACCAAGTAATTGATGCTTGTATACCTGGAATGAAGTCCCATGGACTATAATGGTATTTACTTCTGTACTAGGTGGTGCTTTCAATTCTAAGCTTGTCTCACTTCAATGTCTTGAACAGGATTAGAATTCACTCAAACCACTATTTCTTCCACAATCATATTAAGTTCATTATCGCCACTACTCAAACAAATGCATTTTCTCCAGGTTTGAACAGTTACATCAGACACAAGAAACCTGTGGCCAACCAGAGAACACTGAATTTTATTCTCAGCATTTGATGGTATGAACCAATGTGCCTGAGGTCACAAGTTCTCCACCCATACTCACATTTAAAGAAAACAGTAAATACCACACACAAACCTATGACGAACAATCCCTTTAGCACTAGTTATATGTCAAAGCACTTTTACCAGATTATGAGTCTGTAGCACTCATTTATTGTTAATTGCAAAGACTGAGCAAAAGTAGATTTATTGAATGCCCTGAAAACTACAGAAACCTTCCTGAAAGACCATCCCAGTACAGTCACCTGAACAGATTAACATTCAACTATCAACCTTGTACCTTATATTATAGAACTGTCGGCAGGTATGTTATGAACATGAGGCCAAAGTTGCCCTAAGACCCAAAGAATCCTCATCTCCTAGTATAATGTTTGCAAACTTGTTTCGACATCCATAAAATCCAAATTCCAGTGTCAGCAACTCTAAGAAGTCTGAATTTCAACTCCCAGAATTCCCCAGCCAGAAAAATAATACTTCCAGTAAGGAGAGTTAAGAGTTCTCAGGAAGCACACTGTATTCCCAAAAAGCAAAACTGTCTTCCTTCAAAATCAAAAACAAGATTGAGGGGAAAAAATATGTTCAGATATTGTCTAAAGTTGTAACTGAAGTACAAACACATACACTCCTGTTAAAAGATGCTAGCACTCCCAAATAACGTTTGCAGTGACTATGACACCACCATCAAAAAATAAACTTTATAACTCACACAACCTTTGCAATAGGGATCAAGAGGTATGCAACTTTAAAAAAAAAAGCTACACAAAAGACTAAACAAAACATTAAGAAAAAAGCTTTTAAATCAAGCTATAAACTAGTCAACCATTCATCTTGCTTCATAAAATGTACACATCTATAAATGCTATGGTGATATACAAGAAAACAGATGACTATTGGCTAAAAACTTAAATTGAAAAAAATCAAGCTTACAATCTTGTCAGAAGCGGCAGCCTTTATCTTTCATGTGAATACCTTGAGGCAGAGTAGCATTGCCACTAGAGGTATTTTATGTTTGGAGCTAAGAGCTGCCCCTTTAAAAAGCACATTCCTTAAAGCAGCTCTTAACACAGAATGTCTATAGCAATAGACATCATCTTCCAATCTGTTTCCTACCTCTTATTCAAAATCTTGTTTTAGAATTCCTCAAGACAGAGCCAAAGCACCCTAGCAGGAATGTAAGGTCAACCACAGCCTAAGATACCTGGGAGAACAGCAGAACTGGGGGGGTCTGCTGTTCTCTGTTACAGCAACACACACTGCAAGACTGAACACACAGCTCTCCCTGAACTAGTTTATTCTTCAGAGACTATTAATCATAAAACAATCTGAAAGGGGAGGGAAAAGTTGTCATGGGGGAGTCAGTAAGAAAAACTAATGATTCAAATAGATGCTGCATCTATTTTAAAACTCTGAGTAATTTGTTTGAGCATTAGCAGATTTCACTTCCCACCCCACGCTTCCAGTGTGCAACTGCAATACTTTTCCTTGGTTGCCTTATTGATCTGACATAAGGAGCAAGTTAACAAGGAACGGTGAGGATGAACAAAGCCTCATCAAGTCCACCCCCTCATAGCTATCAAGAGCTTTTCTTTCCAAGATCTCTGTCCCCATTCAACAGCCAAGGTTGGATTCTTTCAAAAGAGGGGCTCAGCCAGGTTAGCTAGCCTCTGTCTCAAACTTCAGAGTTGCCTTTCCTGCCCTCTATGACAAGAGAACAGGAGGATAGTTTGGGTGGGTGGGAGGAGGGATTTTTACTTTCCAATCAGAAACAGAAAAAGGAGGTTAATTTGGAACAGAGATTCAGTTTTGACACTCCTGGTCAGGAAAACAAAAAGTAAAATAAAATCAAGGGCTGGGACTGAAGGACACAAAAGCAATGAAATGTTAAGAATTTAAAAAGCAAGGATTGTGTTGCCTCAAACTTCCCATTTTCTCTCCCATCACTCCAATCAACTAAGTCTTTGGGGGGAAAGCAATTTATTTATTTTTTTCTGCCAGACTGGAAAGCTCTTAACTGCCCACCACCAGGCATGGTGTGTTGACATACCAAGTCAGAAGTGGAACTGTTCAGGAATGGAGACCAACAGATTTCTTAGGTGAGGAGTTAGGGAAATAAAAAAGGCATTTGGACCATTGAAGGAGAACGTTTATGCATGTGTGGAGTGGGAGAGGAAGGTGGTGCAGGTCTTAAATGTATTAGACTCCATTTGAGGTATTTTCTTATTTCTCCCCCCCACACACACACACACTCCAATTCCCCTTCCTCTTATTTCCAACAATGCATGAAACCAGAGAACCATGCAAGCTTCTCTGCTTCCCTCTGCTTTTGATCTTCATCAGGACGTGAGCAGAAAGTTAATGGGGCCAGCCCTACCACAAAGGCAAATTACCATCCGAACACAACACAACAAAACCCCAAAAATAAAAAACCCCAAAAGCAAAGCAAAACAAAAATCTTCTGCTTCAGAGCCGACTTTTCTCCCCCAAAGGCATTTCCCCCCCCTCTCTCTGCTCAGCATCCCCTCAAGCTTTCTTACTGCTTGCAGCCCCCCCGCCCTCGGCCCTTCCCTAATTCACGGACGGAGAAAGAATCCTGCGATTTAAATGGAATTAGGCAGCGCTAACCAAGCTGCCGGCGATTGGGGAGTCTTAAAACGGCTGCAAGATCACCATTGCTAAAGCTTTTTGTGTGTTTTTTTTCCTTCCCCTAAACCCGAAGGGGAATTTGCCGCGGGGCCCCGTTGCTCAGATGCGTTGCGACCGCGGATCACAACGCATCCCAGGAATCATTCAGAAAAAAAAGGAAAATAAAAACCCGATCCATCCCTCCATCCTTCCTCCTCCGACGCCTTTGTTTGTTCCCAACGATCCGACCAGAGAAAAGGCGACGCAACAACATCCAGCAAAGAAAGAACAAACAAAAAACGGCAGCCACCTTTTTCGCCCAAGTCGCGCTTCAGACAAAAATGCTTTGCGCTTCCATCCTTTCCCAGCGACAGACTACGCCTCCCTTCCTCCTCCTCCTCCCCCCCCCAAACTCAAGTTCCTAAACTTTACAACTTCCTCCTCCACTTTTTTTCGGGGGGGGTGTTAGAAAGAGAGAGAGAGAGCTCCCACCCCCCATCCCCCTCGCAGACAAGAGGGGATGGCATGCAACTCACCCTTTGTGATGTCTCCCGGGCGACGGCGCACAACTGTTCACCCGCACATCTTTTGAAACCAAAGCCTCTCAAACCGGAGCTGAGGAGCAGGAGAAGAAGAAGAAAAAGAAGCGAAGAAAAAGCAAGAAAGTCCCGGCGGCGACCGCGTGCTCCCAGTAGCCACCTTTGACGTTCCCTCTGAGGCGAAAACCCGGAGCGAGCGGGCAATATCCCACCGCCAACTGCAGTCGCCCGGGAGTCGCCGTCCTCCTCCTCCTCCTCCCGCTCGCTCGCTCGCTCCCTCCTTTTCCAGCCAAGGAGCCGTCCACTCTCCTATCAGAATCGCTTCAACCTTCTCCATCAGGAGGGGAGGAGACGGAGAAGGAAGGAGGGAGCAGCGAGCCAAGCCAGCGAAGGGGGCCGCCTGCCCCACACGGGCTGATGTCAACTCTCCTCTTTTTGAAGAGTTCAACGCGGCACTTTGTCGCCCGCAAGCCCCCCTTCCAGTTATAAGGCGAACCTGGGCGACTGCGAAACGTTGCGATTTCCAGAGGCAGCCAACAAACTAACGCCCGGTTTGGAGAATTTAACGCGCATCTGTCTATATTACAATTACAAATAGAGCTTACCTCACCGCTTTAATCCTCAACGGAGATTTCTCCTGTCGTTGCCTCGATTTGCCTTTTCCCGCTTCTGCGCCCTGGAACGATCCGCTTCGTCTATATGGAATTAATCCCTCTTTTTCTTTCTTTTTTCTTTTCTTTTCCACCCAGGAATGGCGGCGCGGGCCGATTTATAGACGGGTGCGTGCCCGAGGGCAGAAAGAGGAAAGAGAGGGAGAAGCCGCCGGGGTGTTTCATTTCCACTCCTCCAGCGTGCGTGTGCGACGCGGATGGTGAAGGGCAAAGCTTAAATGCATTTAACTGCTGGTGCAAAACGGCGTTTAAACCGTTTATGGCCGATTACCTTTACCTGTCCCGGGAGGACCGGCAGAGAGGGAAAAATTTCCATCCAGCAGGACGTCCGAGGCGGGCTTTTTCTGCTGGGACCCCCCCTCCCTCTGGAACATCGTCCTTCCCGAGGGGAGGTTTAGCCCCAAACCTTTTTTTTTAAACCCTCAAAACATGTCCCCCCCCCCCCCCCCCAGCAAACCTGGGGACTTGCTCTTTACCTCGTTATTACATTCTTTTTAATGTCATACTTCCCCTTCGCGCTCTTGCTTTACTTTGTTGTTTTATTTTTTGGAAGAAAAAAAGTAGTTTTACAGAACGTTCTTAATTAGTGGATTTATATTACGCCTCCCGGAATCACTTTCGTGTGACAGGGGCGGCCATATAAATTTGACAAATAAATGCCTAAAAACCGACCTCCTCAATTTCCAGGGAGTGCAAACGTGACCTGGGCCAAAGGGGGAGGGTGTGTGTGTGAGGAAAAAATGGGGGGCTCTTCTGGTGCCCTAAGAGAACGGGCGCTTGCAGAAAGTTGGATAAACTCCCTTTCGTTGCTTCTTCGGTGCAAGCGCAGGTGAGCACTGTGGCAATCCGTTTGCAAAAGGAAAAAGCCGAAGATTTCAGGCTGCAGGAGAAAGCTGACCCGTAGAGGGCAGTAAGGGACCGAGAAACGTCCGCTCTCGGCCCAGGTTTGGAAATGGAATACAAAGAGGCCACTTTAAAGAAACTTAAGAAGAAAGTACTTCTTCCTGATCAAGAAGTACAAATCAAGTTAAGACACTGGTGAACTCTGATTAAAACCTAATTAAGAAGGTATATAACTTCTTACTAAATTTAAAAATGGTTGAACAAATAAAAGACACAATGGTACAATGGGGGAAAAACTTTGGCTATAACATAGATCTAGAGAAATGGCAAAATTTATGAAAAGGGAACTATAGATTAACAGTAGCAACTTCTTATTAAAAAAATTCAGATAAAATATTTTATAGGTGGCATTTACCCACCTGCTAGATTAGCTAAAATGTTTAAAAATATGTCTAGCAAATGTTGGAAATGTAATTTAAAAAATGGGCACATTTTATCATATGTGGCGGACTTGTGTTAAAAAAAAAACAATTGGGCAAAAATACACAGATGGCTAGAAAAGATAACAGGGAAACATGTAGATTTTAAACCTGACCTGTTTTTATTGGGGATGATGTCAGAAAAATGGGATAAGGAAAGTATGTATTTAATATTACATGTCTTAACAGCAGTAAGGATTATCTTCACACAATATTGGAAAAATGAAGAAACACCGCAAGACGAAGAGATAATTAAAGAGATACTAGATTGGGCAGAAATGGATAGACACATTGAAAATTAAACAGAAAGAAGACACAGAATATTATCAAAGATGTAACTTATTTTATCAGTGGTTGGAAAAAAGGGGCGGAAATTAAAAATATAATCTGTATTGCTAAACAAATTAAATACCCAGACAACACAATGTTTATTAAGCACTAAGAAATGTAATTAATAAAAAATAATAAATTTTATTTTTTTAAAAAAGTACAAATCAAGCAAAAGGGCTTGATGATGAAAGACATATTTGCAGCAAGACGGGCCTTCAAGCTGGATCTTCAAACTGATTTGTTGTGGGGAAACTAGGAGGAGGAGGAAGAAATATTAGATGTGTTTGCTCCCTTGAGTTATAATAAAAGCAGGATAAACAAAAAATTTCCTCTTGGCATTGTACCAGGAGGTATTTGGCAAGCAGCAAATGGACTGTCTGGCCACTACAACTACTATTCCATACAATATTCCATACTGACAAACATCCTAACTGCATCTACTTGTGGGCAAATCCAGGGAAGCATCTCTCGACAATCCCAACTTTATTTTAACTTGGAAATACATTTTCCTCTTTTCAGGTTTTCCTAAAAATTTAGGCAATTTTAGTTGCCTTATTAAATCAGGAATAAAATTGCAACTCAAAGAAATAATTTCCTTCAGATTTGAAGGCCGAGGGCTAGCCATCGGCATAAAACCCACACCAGAAATGAAAAAAATGCATTTTGCTCCATGAAGCAAACACTCTGTGGTTTCAAATGTTGATAGGATTTGCAGTGGGTTGTGATGCGGCTAAAGTGAAACCAGACGATTTAGATTGGTCTCGGAATCCACTGAGGCAAATCCAAAGGCATTTTAAAAAGGAAATAGGGCTCACGGATGCTACATTTCACCACTACTAGTGGTGGGATTCAGCTGGTTCACACAAGTTTGGGCGAACTAGTTGTTATATTACCCATCCCGCGCTATCAAAGTGGATCCTGGGTGCTGCACTGTAATGGAGAAGGCCGCTTTCCCTCCTCCTTCCCTCATGTCGGCTGCTCCATTGCCCGTTTCTCCATTGCAGTGCAGCGCAGCACCCAGGATCCATTTTGATTGGGGGGGTAATTTAACAACCAGTTCACCAAGAGCCAGGTTGGCTGTTGGGGGAAGCTCGTCCTGCATGTGCAGCGGAGCTGGAGGATGGGGATTGGCCACACCTCCCACAACAGCCAACCTGAACCTTGTTCAGATGTTAAATTATTTGAATCCCACCACGGACCACCGCCCGTGTCTTGTACCCATCCAAAGACTTTGCCCTATGTCTCTGCACCAAGTACTCTGATTCCCCTACCACTTTTCAGTTGCCCCCTTGCCGCTCTGCTGCCATTCATGGCCCTTTCTCCCCACTGTTTGTCAATCCGAAACACCTTTTCCAGAATATGCTGTCCCTCGTCTTTACACAGACCAAACACAGATGCTCTGGATCAGCGGTGGGATCCTACCTGTTCCACTATTGGTTCAGTGATCGTGCGCATGTGTGCGCGCACCTAATGCACATGCCCCTAATGCGCACATGCAGCTTTCCCCCACACCAACTGAGGCCTGCAGCGCCAATCAGCCGAGAGGATAAAGAAGAGGAAAGTGCAGGGGTGGGTGAGAGGGATGATGATCCTGCACTTTTCTTTCTCCTCTCAGCTGCTTGCTTTTTTTTTACTACCAGTTTGGTTGAACCGATCTGAACCAGTAGCATCCCACCACTGCTCTGGATACAATCCTGCCTGATCCTTGTGCAAAACATTTGGCCCTCCTTCCATGACTGGGCTGGTAGATTGTATTGAAAGAGTTTCCATACTTAAAAAGAAAAACCTAAAAGACAACTATAGAAGTTCAGGTGGACCTCGATTAACAACTGTAATCAGGACCTGCAACTCTGTCACTGAGCAATGCAATGGTAAAGCATAATGAGCATAATTAGACTTACAATAGCTTTATTGTCACTTTGAATGTACGCTAATCGGCATACAGCAAAAGTACGTTGCATACAGCAAAAGTACGTTGCATACAGCTCTCAAAGGGTCTCTACCTCTAATATAAACATAAACATGACAAAATAATAAATAAACAAAGCACATACCCATATTATATGACATTGGAGAAACAACACAGTCTAGTTCGGATGTATACATGTACATGGTGAGAGAAACAAATCTTGCAAGTTTACCAGATGGATGGCATAGAGAAAAAAGCTGTTACAGAATCTGGAAGTCCTGCTAGAAATACTTTGAAACCTCCTCCTAGAGGGGAGCAACAGAAACAGACCATGAAGTGGCTGTGTGGGGTCTCTAACAATGCTTTGAGCTGTAAGCATATAGCGCTTATAAGCAGTATCCTGAATGACAGGAAGTGAGTTTCCTATAATCTTCTCGGCTGTCCTTACCACTCTCTGAATGGACTTTCTATCAACTTACAATAGCAGTTCCAGTTGCTGTTATTAAGCAAATTCCACACAGGTAATAAGCATGATATTATACAGTTGCCATTTGCAACCTCCTACCAACTCCTTTATTGACTTTGCTTGTTGGAAGCCAGCAGGGAAAGTTGCAAATGGCAATCACTTAACTAGGCAATGCTGCAACAACTTTGAAAACTAGCAGAAGTCTCATTCAGAACTATAATACAGGTAGTTCTCGACTTATGAGCATGATTAGCCCAAAATTTCTGTTGCTAAGTGAGACATTTGTTAAGTGAGTTTTGCCCCATTTTACAACCTTTCTTGCCACAGTTGTTAAGTGAATCATTGTAGTTGTTAAGTTAGTAACAAGTTCAGTGAATCAGGTTTCCCCATTGACTTTGCTTGTCAGAAGGTCACTGTGATGACCCAGGGTGGGATACAAAACAAACACGGTCACAGAAAACAGGTGAAGCCCCTTTTATTCCTTCAGTTTGCTTCCAAGCTTCGAATATCTTTGACGGAA